AATACCAAAAAAAGGAAATATTGCTTTTTAAGTAACAAACAAAAACCAATAATTCAAACAGTTTTTCAACAAATCGAATAGATCATCTCCATAATTAATCTAAAGCAATAATTGCCTGAGAGGATTGAATATGCTGATTATTGAGTCAATCAAAGCAAACAATTTCATTAATTAATATCTATTTAAAAAAAAAGACATCTAGATAACGATTAAATAACTTTTGATAGGAACAAGATAGAGAGGTGCAGTGGAGATGAAGACATCGATTTGTATATTAGTGATTTCGACGAGAAGATTTTTTTTAGAATCTCTAATTGAACTTTGTTGAAAGTCAATGCAATTTACTTTAATGGGTCACTACGATGAACTTTTAATAATCATACGTTGATTAAAATTAACAATGGAAGATCTGAAAAACTCTGTAAGATCCAGATTTTTATTTTTAATATATGTGGAACTCTAAGCGTATGTTTTGACAAATTTTATGGAAAAAAAAACCGAAATTTTTGCTTTCTAAGTCTCAATAGAAAATATACGATTCGATCTATCTTCATCTCCTTGAAATAGTCAAAATCGTAGGTATCTATCTCATTCCTATTCAAAGTTATCAAACGAAAACAGAGGCCTATATGTTTTCTGTTTGACATAGATTTTAGATCAAAAGAAGTTTTTGTAACTAATACTTTCAATCGAAGGAAAGAAATGAAAATTATTATTGAGACCGAAAATGTTTTTTCTTTCTTTAAATATTTTTGTCATGTCAAGGGAATATAATGCACTGTTAGGCAATGAATAAGTTTTATACTATAGTTCAGATAGATATAGATCACTTACTGTGTTTTGTGTCAATTAATTTAGATTTAGGAGAAAACAATCAACATGATTATCTAGCTAGATAACTGGCAAGATTAACTAACCGATAGAAACTACGTAGTATCAAGTTTTGATAATCAGAGCAACTAAAACTAAAGATAAGAGTACGTACAATTGGAATCATAATTCCACATATGATAATATCCAAAACGCCAAAAGTGGTGATTACTTTTGGTAAACCTGGAGTAGCAGGACATGAATCCTTTTTGAAATGACCAAATATAATTGTCAGAGCACCTATAGCCATCATTAACAAAAGAATCATTGTTATAGCTAATGCGCGATAGAATGATCTAATATGCGCCGCAACAGCCGCAGTTCCCGAAGTAGTGAGTCGTCCTTCATAATTTTGTTGATTGAGTAATGTGGCTATACTAGGAGCTTGTTCCGGCCCCAATATCATTGAAAAAGGTATTTGTACTTCACTCATCTATAAAAGAAGTTCATGCTAAAAACAATATTTTGTACATATAACATTCAATACCTTGTAGTAAATGACACTAGTAAACTCTGTATTTTAAAAGGAGTATGTTCGGCAAGGAAGAACTGTTTCAAAGAAGCAGACCAAGAAACATCGAATTCCTGAGTATCATGCTTATTCACTCATTATTTGAATCTCGTTTTAACTAACATGATTTTTCATTATGCAATTCAAAAACAGAAAAGAACAGTGACAATGTAAAATTGTTTCTTCCTTCTTCAGACAGATCAATGTGTTAAAATCATGCATAGCAACAGTACTGCTTGAAAGTAAAAAACAACAGTACGGAATAAGAAAAAGATTTTTTTTTCGTTTCTGCAACAATTGATTACAGCTAGGTAATATCTCAATGAATGTTTACAAAAGCGATGAGAGAAGAGAAAAAGAAAAATCCATCGAACATGATGTCATTGAGGGAAGAGAAGAACGATGTAGGAGTCAGACTTGTTTTCTTTCGAAAAATATTCCTTTCTGTACAGATACAAATGCACCAAATTTGAGAGACAGTAGCAAATATGGACTTATCACTCTTGATGCATAATTCGATCGTCCGCTTAAGTGATTTAATCTTTGGCAAGATAATTTTTGTTGGTTTAAAATTAAACTCATAAATTGAACTTAAAATCATTTAAGAAATCGATGAATTCAATCATGATGCATCGTGTTATTTTATTGATAAGTGCTAAAAATCGATATATGATTGAGAAAGAAATTTAATTTTTTTTGTTTTAGATTTCTTGTTGATGATAAATTTATTACGCCTTAATGTCGATTTCGATTGAGCGGCAAATTTAGAGGCAAACATTGAGGAACGGTTGCCGCTACTTGTTGAAAAAATTTTTCTTTTTTTTTGTCAGTAAAAAACGTCCAAAAATAAGTTTATACAATCTCTAATGAACTTCAAAACACGTTTCGTGATCATAATTGTCCTTCACCTCTTGCCCGAAGCCTTAAATCTGCTACTGTTTCGATCTATCCAGATATTCTTTTATGAATCATACGATCGATCAATGCATGCTAGTTTTTAATTCCTAAATGATATTAAAGCATAAGAAAAAAAATTGAACGATTTATTTTTAAAAAAAATCAGCAGAATTCAAATGTTTTTTTTTTTCTTTCACATATTTCTATTCGAGTTATTTGTGGAACCAGTACGACATTGAAGTTGTGATTTACGATTAGAAAATGATATGCCAATAAACAGCAAAGCGATTATTATCACTAGACTAGTTTTAATCACACTAGCAAAGCGTCGTATAACAGTTTCACAAAAGTATGGTTTTTTTGAATCCTTGGATTGAAGTCCTTTAATAGTTAAGAAGCTAACTTCGGGCGTAGCATTTGTCTACAGAATAAATTAGACACACAAAGTAGCTCAATTATACGAAAATCATCATTAAAGCTAACCTCGATGGACATTTCTGTTATGATCAATATTCCACACGCTGCAAATACGGCCAAATAAGTAAGCCCACACAGAATACCACTTTGACGAAAGCAATATGTAGCACGTCCGATCGCCTATATTAAAATCACATAAAAATTGTTTTATATTCAGCTAATAGTCACCAGAAAACTTTGCATTTGCAATCTCAATTTTGACTTCATTATTGAGACTGGGATTGAGACTCGCATACGAAAAAGGTTTTGTCTCTCCTTTTTGGCTTTGTACTCATCATTGCACCTCGGAAAAAAATTAAGCAGAGAGTGAGGGAATCATACAAGAGAATATCTCTTCAATGGGTTTTTATACAAAACAATAAATGTCTATTGTTTTGTCTTTTAAATGTTTATACTATATAAAAAATCAATTGTATTTAATTTCAATTCTGTTGCTATACTTATAATTCAATAATTTGTTCACTCGTTCTCTAGCTATTACTAATGTCATTGATTCAATGTAACTATTCATCTTCGTTTATAGTTTTAAAAACTTTGTGTATGCTAGTAACTTATGCTTATGATTTGATCATAATTAATTCGTTTACCTACGTTAACCATATCCTAAAAAATGAATAATTTATTGATTTATTCTCTTATTGATATTCCATTCTCTCTAGAGTGTTTATTTAGATAAAAGCAAGGAAGAACGTTATTTATGTTGGCAGACTTTTACTGTACACTTTCAATTCTCAATATAAAAATTCTAATTAGTGGATATATTCGTTATGTTTGTTGAAAATATTGGTGGAGATGATTTGATGAATGTAACAGATCCGAAATCAAAAATATCATAATTTAACAAAAAAAGAATTTATCTAGAAACTCAGCTTATACACAGATTAGAACTGGAAGATTTTTTCGTAGGCCTACTACTATATAAAAAATACATGTCAACAACACAATTGCGATCTTTGGAATTTAAATTCAAACGAGGTTATCAGAATTGCCATCTTTATCACATTCTGAGTTCTATAAATCAAGAAGACAAAAGTCATATGAATTGACAAAGATGGATGTGAGAATGTGAGTATTAAGAAGCCATCTGTTATTATCTTCTCAAAACCCCATTTTCAAACTCTCAAGTAGGCATTTTCTACATAGATAGGTCTCACCATTTGATAGATTGCTTTGAAAGTTTCAAAGAAAAAATGCAATTTCGTCGCGACATATTTAATGATCAAGAAGTTTCCATATCTCATATATAAAGTTCAGAACATCAAATTTTTTGATGATTAAATATCTCGAAAAGGAATTTGTTTTTCAAGAGAATTTTCTAAAATAATCTAATGACGATGTGACCAACTCCTAGACAAAGTTTCAGATAACATATGTACCATTCAATCTTTGTGTAAATTGCTGACTGACCTATAAATTCGAAAATTCAGTAAAACAATCAAAACTTCGAAAAGGATAGAACATAAACGTGAATCCTTCTGGTTTTGCAACTAGTCTCATGTATCCCAACATATGAACAAACAACTAACTCGATTGATGCCTACCAGTTGTGGAGGTTCTCTCTTAACTTAATAGTCGTGTAAGACAAATATACATACAACTATTGCCACCATAACACACATTATAGCATCGATGATTCCAAAGGCATTTAACCATCTAGGCAAACTGTTTGCAGCAGGACATGAATCGCTATACATATTTGCCACAATGATTGCGACTGTACCAATTATAAACAATATAAAAAGGACTATGATTTCAGCAAAAACTCGATAGAATAATCTGATATGTGCTGCAACAGCATTTGGAGCTGTTGTTGTATAGGAATTTTCATGCTGTGGATCTTGTATAATTGAATTTCGAGCATCATTTTCTTGTAGTTCTGAGATTAAAGAATATGGTATTGACATTTCACCTGTTTACATATTTGACATCGATGAGAAGAAATACAATCAGTTTAGGCAAGAAAAAAAAAACTACGGCTGCAATCAAAGCTTTCTTTTTGGTAATACAGAATGGTGAAAGAAAAATTGAATGAATTCATAATCGAAAAGAGTATGATGCAGCGAAACAAAAAAGTTGCCTATTGCTTTTTAAAACATTATCAACAAAAATATTTTTTTCTTCTTTCGGAATATTGCAATCATGCTACTCATCCAATGAGAAAAATGATCATCAGAGAATAAAGAAAAAAATCGAAAATGAAAGTGTTACCTTTCGCTGTAGTATTCCTTTAAATAAACAAATTAGAATGGGCCAAAAACCTTCTACAGTGCATCAAAATAATTTAGCAAATGAACTTTATCTCGCTTGTTGTAATGGTGATATTAATCGAGTTCGAGAACTCTTACCACATTCCAGTTATACTGAAGTCAATTATCTCCATCCTATCACTGGATTTAGTCCATTACATGTTGCTTGTTCGTATGGTCATGATGAAATAGTTCGAATCTTACTTGCAAATATTTATTGTGATCGTAACATTCGAAATCGAAACGGTAACACACCGTATGATGAATCAAATTTAACAAGTATTCGATCCTTATTTGCTCGTCCACTATCTCTACACAGACAAAATCGTTTTATGGATGATTCTACCAGAACGTCACCATTTCAGTTGATTACTGATAGTGAGTCATCGTCTGATCGTCCAGATCATTGGGTTACGGGCTATTTTTCGTCTGCTGAAGCAGTTGATTCTCAATTGATGTTGACATTATCTCAAACGTCAAGTCCAATTATGAAATTCTTTTTAAATGCTCGTACAGAACGCGAAAGTCGACAAATAGTTCGAGGATTGATCGAAGTCAATATTCCAATCAATCATCGTGATTATCAAAATGCTCAGAATCTTTATAAACAATTTATTGATAAAAATTCAATTGAATCTCTTCTTACAATTTACACACTTCAAACACCATTTTACAATGCTTTACAAATGAATGCTGATGCTTATGCAGTTCTTGTATATTTACATCTTCAAGAAATTCGTACACGGGCGTTGCATGGAATCACTTATCGAGGCATGAATATATCACATGCTGATTTCGAAGCTTATAAATGGGCTTATGCACGAGCCGCCGTTCTTCAAACACGTATTTTTCAATCAACATCAAAAAGTCCAGAGGTGGCTTATGCTTTGGGTGACCATCCCGTAGTAAACGATCGAATATCGATTATTATGTGTTTCGACTTTGACGAACCATGTCCATCAGCAATTGATCTTTGCGGCATTTCTTATTTTAAAGATGAAGACGAAGTTCTTCTACTACCATTTACCCTTTTTCGAGTTATTTCAATCAGCGAGATTAATTTTTTCCATCACACTTATCAAAAAATAACAATGAAAAATCTACCCGTACCATCCAGCACATTATGGGCATCATCAAGAAAAAAACGAAAATAAAATCTGATGACCTTATGTGACTCATTTATTCTACTAAGATAAAATATTTCTCATCTCTTTTAAGTGAAAGAAGTGAATAAAAAAAACTAGCTGAAGCTAACGAAAAATGCATAAAAGAATAATTTTACAATTCTGCTGATAGTAACTAGATGCAAATTTTTGAAGTTTCACTTGTTGTGATCGGGAACTATTGATCAAAAGTATCAGTTGTTATGCACTGTGACATAATTATGAAAAGAGTCAATTTTTCACATTGAAAGTATCTAAAAACACTATATTTGAATCAACACAAATGATTCTATTTCTTAATGTGCAAATCTTCAGAGAACTGCAGGAGTAATTTTTTTCTCAACATTGACAAATTATCGATATTAAAACACACATATATTCTGTGAAATCCATAAGTTTTAAAAACTTACTAACGGTGTATGTCATTTTAGTTCGATAGGAACTGGTTTGTTTCCACGCAGGACGTGAGTAGGTGCTTGTGAAGAGTTGACCTATAACAGTTCCTGATCAATGAACTGAATTGGTATCAGTCACTTAGTTTTGTTTTTTTAGAGAACTGGGTATGGTAACCAGTTCTTTTTTGACAACTGGATCAAGTGCTAAATAGAATTCTTCGATTACGATAATCAATAGAACAAGTCTATTTGAAAAAAAAGCTAGCCATTAGACTCAGCTCTTATAAAAGAACCAGTTCACAGAACTTTGACCTATCACAGACCCAGTGAGAATAGAACGAACAATATCATTGACACATCGAAACCCAATACTGAAGTACTTGGCGATTGCGCGTAAGAGCTCGATACCAAATAAATTTGAATTGCGAGTCATACAGTGATACTATTCGTTCCTACTTCACAAATACCCATAGCCGCACTCATTTAGATTAAAACACAACAATAACAAGATTGCTGATAATTAACCTCTATCATGCTGCTCTCCTATGCCTTTTTCAAGAGGCACATCCTTTGTACGAGGGAATAAGACACATATTGCATTCAAGCAATCTCATATCGTGTACTATCGAGACAACGTTTGCTTGTCATCCGTTGATCACGTCTAGTTTCGCTAAATGCTGTCAAATCAATCTATATAGACCTATCACATTTTGGATGCATGGAAACAAAAAGGACTTTCTTTTCATTTCAATCCGAGGTTATTTTGAAATATTGATTCAAATCGGCTGAAGTATTACTATACTTGCAATATAGTTATGTATGTCATTTTGTTTACTCAATCGGGCAAGACCTCTAAGGATGCATCAAGAATACTTAAATTGGTTAAAATGAGTAAAATTTTTCCAGAATAACACATCTGATCCGTTTTCGCAGCAAATTTAACAAGTTTTGTCGTGTTCAACGACAGAAAAGATTCTTAATGTGGAAAAATCATCTAAGAAAACATACTTTTGTGAATATTTCCTTGAATGTACTTCATTACATTCGACTATAAATTGTTATTCTCCGTTGTAGTTAAAGCAAATCAATGCGTTTAAACAGATTTTTCTTTAAAAAGATTCATTAAAATGCAGGGTCTTTAATTCAATCAGTTATGCTGATTATATGAACACATCTTATGTGAGAATTCCTAATTATACATAGTTTTAATTTCTACTAGCACGATACACCATTGTTTAACAATCATCCAAAAATAGGATACTTTTCCAAACGTGAGAACCCTTTTTTCTCGATGTGTACGAAACTATACGACGTAAAATCACTTTGGTAATCGATGTGACTTCCTCAACACATTAGATATATTCCTTAACGGCTGAAGAGAATTATTTTAATAGTGAAAGAAAGCTAATCACACAAATAGAGATTTCATACACTCAGTAAACAAAATCTTTTATATTTTTAACAATTATACAATATGTTTCATAGAGCCTGTTTGATCTCATTTACATGTTAATAAGATATTTTACTGTGTTATGATCGAGTGTTTTTTCCTCTCATTAGCATTCTCTTAATTGGAGTATGGATGTATGTGGGTGCGGTAGCTTTATGTCTCGAGTCTTATAACCTCACTATTCTCTGCTGGGGTTGGTAGAAAACATATTGGAAAGTTTCGATCAGATGTGATTTTCTTCATGTACTGGTTTTTCAATATTATTTTCATTATTGTAGTCATGTAAAATAAATCAAAATGAGCTACGCAAGTATGTAATTTGTTGGCGATCCAAAAGCACCTCTGATCACTATGTTCAAAGTTTTATAATTTTTCAAATAAAAATGTCGATTTGTTGGCCTTTCTCAAAAAAAAGATTATCATGTAGTGTTCTGTTCAAGAAATCGAAGATTATGAGCAATTGACCTCGATGAACATGAGTTTTTACTGATTGGTCAAAGCATTCTACATATTATATTCATCAACAGCGATGAATGACTAACACATAATAGCTTGCAATCTTTTTTTAGTCTTGCACATGCCGTAGTCTAACACCTTTCTCTATTTTGATTTGGTTATCAGCTAGTTTGTTGACAATGAGAAGCGTATGATGAAAGAAATGCATGATGTACATTGCTGTTTTTCTAGATAACGTTAACAAGAATCAACATCATATTCAACTGATTTCGCTGTCCAAAGTGAGTATCAAAGTATCATATGTTTGTCGAATGATATTATGTAATCAAAGTTTAATGAATTATCTCGAATGTTATGCCGTTTGGATTCACGTTTATCCTTATTCTCCATGACGTCATAACAGATTGCATAATATACTTGTGAGATAAAGTCAAGAGTAAGCGAATTCACTTACTGAGCAGTGTTTTGTATGCATACGAGCCATTCTGGTTCACTATGACTTTTTTTTGGCGTTCAATGTTGCTTCTGTGCGATAACTACTTTACTTTTCAACGAGCTTCTCGTTTCAGCAGGTGCCACAATAATATCAACCGTGACTATACGATCGTGATCGTAAAGTTTGATGTGTGGGATATGGGTGGGAAAGTGTGAAGAGAAGACTCATATCCCATATCGAACATACAAAATGTCAGAAAAGAATACTAATCACTCATGATTGCGCCGCTATCTGATATCTTTTAAAACTTTGAAACTTCTTCCGATTAATATCACATTTTTCTGCTATTTCAGATTCAAAATGTGGTTTCTTCTGTTGTTCTCATTTGTAACTATTGCTGCTATTCCGAATGTTCCGACTACTCCTGCTAAAACCACGAACATGGATGTTTCCTACGACAACGCAATCGGTGATTCTTGCAACTCGAATAGCACTTGTGGTGCACTTATCGGTAACGCAATGTGTCTTAACGGCACATGTATGTGCAAACCTGGATATATGGCCGTCGGAATTTCAAAGTGTATCAAAGGTGAAAGTAAGAATATGCGCTGACTACTTAGAAAACTGAAACTAATTATTATAGGGTTTAGTGCTGATGTAGGATTTAACAAAGAAGTAGTCCAAATGATTGAGAGCTTCTGAAGTGAAATATTCAGCAGTTATAATAGAGAAATATCAACACTTGTCTTGCATCGCGTCGTTTAGTGACCTGACATTTAGAGGATAGCCTTCTACAATGATTTGATACTGAGTTGTATAAAAAATCTGTTCAGTCTTTCTGTATCGAAGATCTTCATCTCATAGAAAAATACAAGTGGCATGGCCATGATAATAATGTCGATAGTATTGTAGTTTGTCTCATTTAATATATTAATGTCATAATTTTCGATTGATATCGTTGCTATCTGCAGGTGATGGAAGCTTTTAGAGATCGAACTCAAGTCTTTTTATCTAAATTTGTAACAACTGATCATGATCATTTATTCATATTTCTTCATGAAATTTTTGTTTCATTTCTCAAATGAGAATATCTCAAGAGTGAATCATAAGCATGACCTACAATGTCAGATAAAAAGGCTTGAGGTAAAGATTTTGATGCTTACAAAGGCTACAATTAAGAACGAATTATATTAATCGAAAATTGTGTCATTAATATCTTAGAAGAGATAAAGCATAGGAACAATGATATTTTTATAGCAATCTTATTTTACAGAGTCTGCTCTATGACTGAAACGTGATCACGAACAATCAAGATTGATTTTTCAGATATTTTAATTATCTTTCCATCCGATCTTTTTTTGCACAGTTTCATATCAAATCACCCTAGAGCTGCATCGTCAAAGTGTCAAGTCGCTAAATACTTCAAGGCAAACTTAGTGAAAGTCCTTTAAATAATTTGACAGAGTTGGGAAAAAAATCAATGAATCTTTTTAAACTTACAACATGGTAAAAGTCTTTAACTTTCCCCCAAGACTTAGTAACTTTGAACTTCTTGAAAGTTAAATATCTCAAGAAATTTGCAGCGATTTTCATCTGTCACATCGAAGTTATTCTAAGGATATTCATGTATATTTACACATCAAAAGTTCAACTGTGAATTACTTTATTCGATTCCTTTCTAAACCCTGTTGCCATGAACCTAAAACTTGGTAGCGCAGTCAGACTTTTTAAACAGACATTCATCAGCTGGTGTCCACTTCAAATTTTACTGGTCTACTTAATACCTCTTTATTACTTAAAAGATTACTTCAGAAACTCTTAGTTCATTTGATTTCTATCTGTATCAGTTGACACTCAGAAAATCAGCATAGTCGATCTATTTATTTGCATTAGAAACGACGAACAGTTGGACGACTACGACAGCAAATGTTGCTTTAACCAACACTAAACCAACTATGACAGCAGATGTTGGTTCAACCAACACCAGATCAAGTACGATAGCAAATTTTGGTACAACCAACACTGGATCCACAGCGACAAATAATATTTGTGCAACGAATTGTGTCATCTTTTTTACTTTTACAATTCAATTCGTTAGTATGCTGCTTTCCAGTGTTCACTAAAATATGAATAAAATTCAATAAAGCGTGTCGTCTATTTAACGAAATCGTTATCTGAAGTGTATTGAATTTTACTTGTCTCTCTCTTTTATCACATGAATGACAATCGCGTGAATCTACATCATTTAGTAGAG